GTGCAATGATCTTCCCACTCAATACTCGGTGCTGAGATTTCGCCTAGGCGGAGTAATTGGACACGCGGGGAGCGCACAGGTGAACACTTTTCCCAACACCGGGGTCGGTGTGTCAGATGGTCGAGCAAACATCACACCAACCTCCAACGCACGTGATGAAATTGCAACAATTAACGACGCGAATTTCGGCCATCAAACAATTAGCACACCAAGGGCGACGATCCCTGATGAAGGGGGGAGCCGTGAATGTTCATAGGTATGCGGTAGCATGGCAACTGCATCCCATAAATACTGCAGCCCCTTGTGCATGAATCACCCGTATCTGTTATTGTCCCTGATGATGTGTTCGAGCAGGAATCCGAAATGTCAGGCTAATAAATCTCTGGTCCCAGCGATCGTCTCCTTCTTCAAGAAGGGTGAATAACTCGTGCATATGTGTCATGTTGGTGGATTTTTGTGAAGTCTGCAGCGATCGAACTGTTGACTGCTCTTGGAGTCCCTAAATTCAATTTTGAGGCAATATCAGATCTAAGACGGGGTCTTGATCATTGTTGCAGAATTCCGGAGTCTGATTCATCGCGGCCTAGAGACAAACACGCATTCGGCCGGTGATGGACGGGATGGAAGGGATAGGATGATGGCCTGACCGGCGAACACGAGAGAACGGGGCTACGAACTCATGACTAGGCTTATGTGAACATTTACCATTCCAATCCGATAGAAGCATGGAATCGAGAAGCGTGTTGCTTCCTAAACCGGCTCGGAACGCGCTCCAGACTTCGGCAATAATGAACATAGCCTCGCTCAGGATACGGCGTTGTCATGAAATTGAGTATGAAGACGCCAGGGGTATCTGAAACTCGTGCGTTGTATTCGAAGGTAGTTCTTCCCTTCTCCAGACTTTGCCCAGTGTCAAGACATTTCTTCCGAATATTCCATAATTTTTTGAACGTTTTAGAGACATCCAAGGGACATAGTTGTGATTAAATACCATCAGGGGTCCTAGGCTCGCTCGAGAAACACCGGTTTTCGGTAAGATGTGGTTATTTAGCCGCACCTGATTGACATAATACTATTGACCTATTTAATTATTTTGAGATGGTGTGATTACGGTGGTATGGTGTTGCTGTGCGTTGCGGTGTGTATTCTGTTAGCGGCCTTGTTTCTTTGTTGACGCGTCTACCTTTTTTAACCCAATGCCGTTAGTCCTTCTTGACTTTCGGCCCGTCGTCTCCTTCTAACTTCCTCGTTGGATGTTTCAGGGTTAGGGTTTAGGGCCGCGGCTAGGGGTTAGGGTAAGGGTTGGGCTTAGGGTTAAAATTAGGGACCACTGGCAAGAGTTAGGGGGTTAGGGCTTAGGGTTGGGGTTGGGGATAGGGGTTAGGGCTAGGGGTTATGGTTAGGGGTTTGGGGCTAAGGCATCTACTTCTCAACCACTCAAACTGCAATCGCGCATTTCCAATAGCTTTTCTTTCGCATACAATTACTTGACCTCGTCGCCTGTGCGTTCCCCGGTCCCACCTGTAAAAACCCCAGTGAGATGTGGTTTGGTAGCCGCACCTGATGGACACAATACTGTTGGGGTTGGGGTTAGGGTCAGGAATTAGGGTTAGAGCTTAGAATTAGAAGTTAGGACTAGCGGTTGGGGTTCAGGATAAGGGGTTATAGTTAGGGGTTACGGTTAGGGTTAGGGGTTAGCGCAACTATTTCTCAGCCATTGGAAGTACAACCACGCATTACCAATAGCTTTTCTTTTGCATACAATTACTTGAATTCGTCGCCTGTGCGTTCCCCGGCCCCACCTGTAAAAACCCCTATTACCACCGGTCGCATTCTACAAGTGGCTGGGGTTTGTTTTTCTTCAGGTGAGGCTACATACCCACAGCTGACCCGTTTTCCTCCAAATGCCCGCAAATTCTTTAATTGATTTCGCTTACAGTTTAGCGACCAGAAGCATATATTTAATACCAACCGAAAATTAGGGACTGTTCGGGAACTGTGGTCAGTTTTTTTAAATGCGCTTGGATTACTTGACTTTAATTGTAACAAAACATTCAGTAACGTCAAACACAATAGTTTAAGTTGTCGCCATATTCTGAAAATAGGTTATTAGAAGTAAAGTGTTTTAAAAACATTTCTGTACGACAAATGGCCAAATGTTTGCTTTTTTTCATGAATGGTTCGTGACAGGCGTTCAGGCAAGCCGTCGGCTTGTGGCTTATATTCCTCGGGGTGTGAACTGCATTCGGCATATGCTCTTTGCTTTGCATTCTCGGACAGCTGGCCTGTACTTTATACAGAAAATAAGCCATGCTACATGTCGAGCATGAAGAAACTGTAGACGCTTCATGTTGATAACTTTAGCGTTGCACACGCGCAAACACACACACACACACACACCCCTAAGCATGCACTAGGTGCAAACCAACAGGGGTGCTAGCTGAGCGCTCACAAAGGTGTGGATCAGTGTGTGTGTGTGTGTACGCGGCGGTGAAATCAAAACACATTCGCGATTTCGCGCGTGCACGCATACGCGCACACGGTGCGTCGTCGTGTGAGTTGCATTTGCGCGTAGTAGTGTGAAGCCATGCCAGAAAGTGCGCACATAATCGACTCGCCCAGCAGGAGCAGCCGTAGCCGAACCGTCTTGTCGGTGTTAGAAAAAAAAGCGAAGTCCGCTAGTAATCGAGGTCAGTCAACACTTCAACTGCGATTGATTTCTTGACACTGGGTCCAGGTAGGGAGGAGTGGGTGCAGTAGATGCAGTGCAAGTCAACTATCATTATAGGCAAAATTGTGTGCAAGCCACCGTCCCTGATCTCACCATGCTGTGGAGCACATGGCGGACGATCGAGGTCCCATGATGGGCTGTGTAACGTGGAAGGAGGACTGTTCGTAGGTTGACAGTAAACAAGCTCGAAGCGAAAAGCACAGATAAATACGAGAAAGCCGCCGAAGGTGTTGCTATTGACTCATATACACCCGTATATTGGTGGTCCATTGGGGCAAGTATGAACAGTAATCAGGTGTGATTAATGAGTTGGGTAAAAGCCTAAGTTATTCATTCAGAAAATATCATCTAAGTGGTGTTTCAATACCACTGAGTCCAGGGACATGAGGTCAGGTGGACACACACATCTTTGTATGCAAGTCTCCATGTCAGGATCTTCCTGGCTGCCAGATTTCATCTCGTCCGATAGTTATGTTGCTTGCTAAATGGGAAACGCGTCTTTAAATATGATTGTATTTTAAAAGATACAGTGAGCTATTAGAAGATTTAAAAACAAACAAATGCGGGCTAGGTAAACTCTCTTGATTGTTGAATATTTGAGGTGGTCAGCGGACAATTAGTTATCTCGAGCAGGTACCTGTCGGCTCGATGCTAAAGGTACAGTGACCTTGACTTTTAGAAAAACAAATACTTAACAGTTTTGGTAGGGCTGATAGAGGAGAACAGGCGAGTTCCAAGGGCATAAGGTCAGATGGGCTCACACATCTTTGTATGCAAGTCTCCATGCAGGTCTCCATATGAGGATCTTCCTGGCTGCCCGATATCATCTCGTACGTCAGTTCTGTTGCTTACCAAATGGGAAACGCGTATTTGAATAAGATAGCAAATTAAAAGATTAAGTTAGCTGTTAGAAGATATAAAAAAAGCAAATTCGGGATAGGTGGACTCACCTGATTCTCGAATATTTTAGGTGGTCAGCGGGCAATTAGTTATCTCGAGCAAGTACCTGTCGGTTCGATGCTAAAGATACACTGACCTTGACTTTGAGAAAAACAAATACTTATTAGTTTTGGCAGGGTTGACAGAAGCGAACAGGCGAGTTCCAGAAAGCGGTTCAGAAGACGGCGGGGAGACGTCGGCTCTCAGATAGCGGCTCATTCGATGGGACCCGACCATATTTTCAAGTTTCAAGCGGCCGATATCCCCGCAAAGGGTGACAACCGCGTGAGCCGCGAGCTGCTCAAGCCATGGTTCTCAGGCCCGAAATCCATCAACAAGCGCAATGACCTCCTGTTACCGTATTCCATGCTGAGATTTTATCTAGGCGGGGAATCAGTCACGTGGGGAGGACGCGGACGAGCAATAATCTCAGTGACAATGAGCCAATTTGCCGAGCAGTCGTCACACCTGCACCCAACACGGATGACGAAATCACGCCGATTAACGACACGGACTCGGACTGACGGGCTATTATCGCATCAATTACGACCCCAGCGATGATGGCGAGAGCTGTTAAGTACAGTACGCATACGGTCCCGCAGCAGCCACGTGTTGTAAATACTGCACTCCTTGTGCCACTATTACCCTTATCTGCAACTGTCTCTGATGATGGGTTCGAGTGAGAATCTGAAACGTCGGGTCAATAAATTTTTAGTTTTGGCAGTGTCTACTGCATAGGCGAGAATCACGAATGTCAGGCACTTCTTTAGAAGTAAACCGGGAATTCATCATCGAGCCCGTCAGGGTACATGGCTCTGCGGCTACCAATCACAGCAAAAGTCTGTCGGACACTTAACAAGATGAAAGGCAGCAGTGCTTTCTGCCGCCCCAAAAGGAATTTCGGCAAAGCTTCGGTCGCTCCTTCGTTCGCTTGTCGGTCCAGAAAGGCTCTTAGGCAGCCATTTCGGCGTTTATTAGCCCGTGCTCTGATTGGCGCATTTTTACCCTTTGAATGTGAGCTAAGATGCAATTACGACCGGCGTGACACACAGGATCCGTGTTGTGATAGTAAATTTTTCTGCGTTGTCCGGCACCGATTCCGCCACGTAGTAATCAAGTGAGCGAAACGCCCAGGAAGACCAGTCGTTGGTTGGTCTCCTACTTCCTTATGAAGAAGATACTGAAATAATTCTGGGGATGAAAACAAAAGCTCGAGTTCCAGGTGTATGTATGCGTGAAGCACAAGGGTGGTCGACCATCGGAACCTTCTGTAGTGCATCACATTCCATGCCAAAACTGTCCTTATAAATACACAGACCAGACTGGACGCATGCTCGGATCGCATATACACGAACATAAACTGACTGTGGCCGCCCACGCCTACAAAAAGTCTCATGAGTTTAACTTCACAGCCACCAAGGTAATCGCCCACGCCGGAAACGGAAAAGGCCGAGAATTGATTGAAGCCTGGGCTTTGGATGAGAACTCAGTCAACCGATTTATCGGTCCGCCGCGGCGTACGGAGCCATGCGCAGTCACCTCCAGTCTTGCGCCATCGATCGAGGAGTTGACAACACCCTCTATAACTGTCGCTTTTTCTGTTACTGCTACCATCTCTGACGCCTGCACGAGTTCGGAAGCTCAGGGCAATAAACAGTGTTCCGATACTCGACCAGCCTTCTTTTTCTTCTTCTTCTTCTTCATCTTCTTTTTCTTTTTCTTCTTCTTCTTCTTCTTCTTCTTCCTCTTCTTCTTCTTTTTCTTCTCCTCCTCCTCCTCCTTCTTCTTCTTCTTCTTCCTCTTCTTCCTCTTCTTCTTCTTCTTCTTCTTCTTCTTCTTCTTCTTTCTCTTCTTCTTCTTTTTCTTCTTCTCCTCCTCCTTCTTCTTCCTCTTCTTCTTCTCCTCCTCCTTCTTCTTCCTCTTCTTCTTCTTCTTCCTCCTCCTCTTCTTCTTCTTCTTCTACTTCTTCTTCTTCTTCTTCCTTCTTCTTCTTCTTCTTCTACTTCTTCTTCTTCTTTCTCCTCCCCTTCTTCTTCTTCTTCTTCTTCTTCTTCTTCTTCTTCTTCTTTTTCCTCTCCTTCTTCTTCTTCTTCTTCTTCTTCACTTATAGTTGTGGGAGTTCACTTGTATGTTCTAGTGTCCAATAAAAATGTAGATGTCATCAGCGTGCGAAAATACACACTAGTAGTCATTTGAGCCGTCCTTCTGAGGACATTACGACCTAATGCTGATTTAAAATCTCACGCGGCCCACGTACAGTAAGCCCATGTTTTGAAGGCGCAGTCGTTTTTCTTTCCTTATAGGTTCTGGTAATGGACTCTTACATGGGCTTAAAAAATGCGGCAAGTTAACCGACTACTCCGGCGCAAAAAATGACAATTTGGCCGTCCCATCCCATGATGTCCATCGTGCGCTCCACAGCAAGGTAAAGTAGGCACAGTAAATAGCGCGTGAATTAGTGGACTTGCGCAGCATCTACCGCACTCCCACCCTCCCCTGCCTGAATCCGGTGTCAAGACAGAGTCAAGAAGACCGGAAACGAGGGAAGGCGCAGATGGATGGCGCGGCGAGCTCGCACCTTAGCGTCCCACTCCATATCCCCTGGTGCACACGGCAAATGACCAGGTTTTTGACCAAAAACAGCAACAATAACACCCTAACAGGGGTCAGAAGGACTAGGATGACTAGGCAACCATGCTCAAGACCTGCATACCCGGCGGGAGCGCAAGCGCACCTATCGGCAGGGAAACAGGTGTCATAAAACTGTTAGCACACACAGGCTGCGAGGGCCATGGTTTGCTGATCCTGGCATAGCAGACGCTTACAGACCCTTAGGTGAAAAACATAGACGCAAGCTGAATCACGTTTCACTTCGTGTGCACCCACCCCACGCATGATGATTAAGATTCATTTTTATCGACACAAATACAGGCCAGTAGCGGGCATCCAGCAGTGCTGCACAGTCAAATAAACCTTGATTTTTCACTACCGCATTTCATTCTATTCGTCCTCTTTGAGCTTGGGTGTGTAGTGGAGAATTTTAATTTTAAGGCTGGTCTTACTACGATCTTTTTGGTAATTCATGTTAACGTTTCAATTTCCAGTGTTATTCACTTACCAACTGAATTGTTTTGTTCGGTACAGAGTAAGTAATGTTTTAACGGACGGGAAATTTAAGAATTATTAGGTGAAAATGCATAAAATACATTTAATACTGCTGCCTCGCTCTACTTTTTGTGCCCAAGACAAAATATGGGTTCGAATTTAATGGATGTGAACTCCAGAAGCAAGTTCTCAGTGCTGTTGCCTGCGCCGCGATCGAGGACAAATGTGTTACTTGACGGCAAGCTCAAGCCAGGCGCTTATCGAATCCGTTAATATAAAGGGATCACTGCTGTACAGCAATTTTGGACCACCTAGACACAGAGTGCGACATTTTACTCCGGGGGAGCTTTAGTGACCAAAGCCGTGTAAAAAACACAATTATTGTCCCGCGTTAAGTTGTTTTGACGTTGAACCGACTCTGCCGACTGCAATGAATTAAAACCCCGAACGGGTTTGGAAAAACAAGAAAAAGAGAACAAAACTGACCCTGTTTCAAGAAACATCCACTCCCGAACCTCTTCCTCTCAAAGTGGCCAACTAATTTTTCTGTTAAGATGAAACATTTTTGGTGCTCTGATCCTATACGATGATATCCTCCTAGTTACCGCTTATCTGAGGTCGATTTGCCTATGTGATCACGAATGGAGTTAGAAATTGTATTCAAACGTAATGTGATTGCTTTGAAGTCGCGTTCCATTACTCGATAAGAAACGTAGGCTTGAAGTGGCGTCTAGGCATTATTTTACTAACCGTTGTGATCACTAGTAATCCTTTCAACGGTGACGTTGTCCAACTATGGATAAAATTCTAGGTGTCCAACAACTCTTCAAGCAGACGCCCGGATGAAAAAAGGCATGCAGAAGGCTTACGCGGATTTGTGAAAGACAGGTCAACATCGTCTGCGTTGGTTTCGAATAAAGCTATTGCAAATTTGTGTACAACAGGCATGAGCATGGCGAATACTCCTATGCTGCCGCAGTAAGGTTTTCCTCGTGCCGAAATCGGCAAAAAGTGGGCACACTACCTACGTTTGTTTTCTCATGAGTGAATTCATAACAGGTATTGGGAGGACTACTCACTTGTCTTGTGATGTGGACTACATCTGGAATCCATAATCAAAATGATAGCATTTAACCTGTGCATCCATATGACTAATGCATCTCGGATGCCTCACTGGCACACGGGCACACGGGCCTCACGGGCACACTACCTACGTTTGTTTTCTCATGAGTGAATTCATAATAGGTATTGGGAAGACTACTGACTTGTCTTGTGATGTGGACTACATCTGGAATCCATAATCAAAATGATAGCATTTAACCTGTGCATCCATATGACTAATGCATCTCGGATGCCTCACTGGCACACGGGC